CGTGCCCAGCTGTGATGAGGTGTCTGCCGCGACGGGACTCTGACGCAACTATCCTTGTGAGAATAAAATTCAAAACAAAAAAAAGAAAAAAAAGAAGCCTAGTGAGAATTGAATTCTGGAATGGATACAATTTCCCTCAACCGCCATACGCCATTATATACCATCGCCAAACACTCCACTTTCCTTTCACTACCACCACCATCCAATTCCCACCGTCGCTTATCCTCTCCAAACAACAACCAATTCCGGCCTAAAAGAATCCAAATGTCAACCGCTGCTGACCCGACCCTCCAACCCGACCCGACCAATTACGACCGCCTGAGAGAGCTCAAACAATTCGACGACTCCAAAATCGGCGTCAAGGGTTTAGTTGACCGTGGCCTCCCCACCATCCCTCGATTCTTCGTCCACCCACCCGACCCGGATACCTCCACCGAACCGGGTTCAAGTACCCGTACCCGCACCTCCATCCCGGTGATAGACTTCTCCGCTCCCAGGTCAACCCTAGTCAAACAAATCCGCGATTCCGCCTCCGCTCTAGGGTTCTTCCAAATCGTCAACCACGGAATCCCACCGGAAACCATCAACCGTCTGCTGAGCTCCGCCCGCTCGTTCAACGAGCTCCCGGAGGAGGAGAAGGCGCGGTTCTACAGCCGCGACATGAGCCACGGCGCCGCGTTCTCGACCAATTTCGACCTCTACCAATCGAATGCCGCCAGCTGGCGCGACACCCTGCAGCTCCGCCTGGCGCCCACCCCGCCCGACTGGGACCACGTGCCGGAGAATTGCAAGGATGCGATTGTGGATTGGGATAAGGAAGTGGCGCGGTTCGGGGAGGAGCTGATGGGGCTGCTGTGCGAGGGATTGTTGGGTTCGGAGAACGCGGGCCTGTTGAAGGAAATGTCGTGTTTGGATACGAGGATAATGGTGGCGCATTATTATCCGTATTGCCCTCAACCGGAGCTGACGAAGGGGCTGTCGTCGCACACGGATCCTGGTGTGCTGACTGTGCTGGTGCAGAACGTGGTACCCGGGTTGCAGGTGAAGGTTGGGGATGAATGGGCTGACGTGGAACCCGTCGAGGGCGCTATCGTTATCAACATTGGTGATATACTTCAGGTAATCGACACGGTTTAATCCTCCAATGAACTGTCTTTTGATTCGTACTCAGTAAAGCATGTAAAGCATTATTTCTGTTGTTTTGAAATAAGTGCAATCGTTTTCGTAAATTTTTACATAATATACAACTCAAAAGGAATCGTCTTAGAATAGTATGCTTCTTGAATTGTTTGGTCAACTTGAAGACTCGGATTATTTCTGGTTTGGGAAGCTATCCTCAATATCGTATATCCGGATGAGAATCCTAAAACTATGGAGAATTTT